TTATGGCGTCAGATGTTCAAACAAACTTCACTTTTGACGCCCTGTCTCTAGACTATCGAAGGTATGCTAACGCCAGTACCTTTGCTCAAAAGAGATTTTCTACGCCCCTCCCCCCACCCCCTCTCCCGCCCGAACGTAAATCCTGAGACCGCCCCTAGTAGGAATTAGTGGGAGGTTGGCGCGGACTATGCGTTTTAAAATTTTTTCCGAAGACCACCAATAGTAAAGATGGATGTGAAGATTTCTTCTCCGGCTAAAACTGGCACTGAACAAGGTGACGTCGGCATATTGTAGGGCTGCTTTAACTTAAACTAGGGAACTGGCATGTTTGCGCAGTACTATTTCTGAATAGTGAAAGCTGGGGAGCTCATATGCAGTAGTTATATGAAGATCTACTGAGCTATTGGAAGGGCGAGTCACGAATTTGAGGCGCCACCTGCAAAAACATTTTTTGCAAAAAAATTGAGAAATTGGCTATTTTATGCATCACAAGATTGTACCATTTGCTGATAAAGTAGTTGCAAAGCCCTATTTCGCGCAAGAGCTTTCTGATAACTGCAGTAATTTGAGTAATTCTTTCAATCTTCGGGACTCATCATTCAGGCGTGACGCCTATCCTAGAATCGACGCCAGCTGCAAAAAGAGTTTCTATCAGAAACAAATTTGACAGCCCTGTTTTGTGCGCGTATAGCAAAATTTGAGTGCAACTGCGGGTTCAGAGCCGGCAACCTCCTCTTTCAGAAAGTTAAGCATTGAGAAGGTATCATGGTCTAGCGCGAAAAAAGGCAGCAAAAAGAAAATTATCACATTTTTATCTTGATAGACTTTCTTTGGTGTGCGGATCTCGAAAAGTACAGGCTTCACTTCAAACAATTATACGCGATTTAATCTTCAAAATCCGACCTAGTGCGAGAATAATGATTCACCTGCATCACCTGATTATCATGTTGCATGAGCGAGTACCAATGACGCCTCTATTCGTTCCTGCCTCGGGCGATTGTTGACCATTGTTTACATATCGCACCGTAAACACGTGAACGCTCTGAACTTCATTAAAAAAAACTTTGCGAGCATATCTGACCATTGCGTCGGCGGTTTTCCTCGTTTGCCATTGACGTGCAGTGGTATCCAATCTGTTACAGCTGTCGTCCACCGGTTGTCGTCGAAACGCATTAGGTGCCCGGCCCACCTTATCTTGTTTTGCGTAGGCGACAGCTTCCTTGATTCGATCGACGACGTAGAGTAGAACTCTGTATTACTTGCCTCACTTGCGTGAGTCGGTTCACTCCTCCATCACTCTCCCACCAGCACGTTTGATGACGCTAACCGCGTGTTCATCCTGCATCCTCATTGTCCATGTTTCTGAAGCGTACATCAAAGCAGGAAGAACCGTCTAGTTGAAGAAGTGGGCGCAGAGCCTGATGTTCTTGGCCTTCTTCACTATGTTCTCAGTTGTCTTATGTGCTCCACACTCTGCACGTTTCCTCTCGCTCAGTTCCGAAGCTAGATCGTTCATCATATTGAGTTCTCAACCTAAGCAGCAGTGGCGGTCCCAGGATTTCCGTAGGGGGGAGGGGAGCGCGCCAAAATTTTTTTTCGTGTTAAGGTGCGTGGCCTTAGTCACGCACTCCGAAATTTTTTTAGGATGCTTCCCATATTTTATGCGGGCCCGTGACCCCAAAATATTAGAAAAAGTGGGCGTGGCGGTAGCCACACCCCCAAAAAATTTTTCCTACAAGGTTAATTTGAATTTTTGAAAATTTTTAAAAATTATTTTAATTATTTACAAGCATAAACAAGCCACTTGCACATTTCCAAAACCCAGTGAGTAACTTTCAAAAATTCGCAACCCATTCTTCCCCTCGGACCGCCACTGCTAGGTAAGTGTAGCTTGAGCACTGCTTTTGATGATGTTCGTCCCGCTGAACATAAAAGGAGCATCAGGCACTCTTCCGTTCCTCATGGGCGTTAGAGGCCGTTAGAAGCCGTAGACCGATCTTTCCATATCTTGTCAAACTGGCCACCATTTGCTCCGTGTGCGTGATGCTTGTTGTTATCAATGCGATGTCATGAGCAAAACGAAGATGAGGTAGTTGTAGGCCGTCGACGTTCACTCCCATGTCGTCCCATTCCAACTTATGCATGAGGTTCTCTAAAGAGCGACACTGCACAGTGAGGCGGTAGTGTATCGCCTTGTCGTACAATTCTCTTCACGTCGATGATAATATCCTTGTAGAGGTGTAATGCTTGTTGTGAAGTCGTTAGGCAGCTCTCGAACTGTGTTGTTGTAATGAATACGGGTACCGCGATTGCTCAGAGCATCGATGACGACTTCAATGTCAACCGAGTCAAAGGCCTTTTTCAATCGTTGAAAGATGGACAGAGCAGCATCTTATACTCTTGTGACACTGCAAGAGCCTTGACACCGTGTGTATGTTTTCTATCGTGCTAAATCCTCTTTGAAATCCTGCTTGCTTACACTATTGTTTTTCGTCTAATCCTAATCCGATCCGTTGAGGATGACTCGCGTAAAGAGTTTGATTGTAGAACAACAGGCAGAAAGGTAAATGCCAATGTCGCAGTCCTTTCATACAGCAACACCGTCTTGCTGGTCGTAGATTATCTTCGAACCTTGTCTTCCGTCAACTACCGCGTGAAGAGCGTTGCTAAAGTTTGATGAGTGCTGGCTAAAGATTCTTTAGATGTTGTGGCTTGATCCTATCGGGACCGAAAGCTGCAAGACTCTTCATCGACATGATAGAATGACGAATTTCGGAAGGAAGAACAGACGGAGCTACATACTCCCTGAGGTGACTTGAAGGCAGGTGGACGCGGCTGTCAAAAAGGTCTGAGTAGAAGTCGTGGATGACCTTCTCCACCGATCTTCAGGAAGCAGTCATGGTCCCGCCAGGACGACGAAGTGCGATCATCTTTGTCTTGAAGGTTGGCGAAGCTTTGGCGGGAGTTGCGTATACTTCTGCCAGCCTCCGCGGCGTCAGCCAATGTCACTCTTCTCTCCTTGACATGTTCTTTTATCGCTTCTGTGCATTTCTTCGCAAGCTCGGACGTCGGTCGGTGATTGCCTGTGGCTCGCGCATGTCCACGTTGGCCACGTTAGCTCCAAGGTCTCTGGAGTAAAACGCCTCGTACTTCTTAGACTTCGAGCTTCCTTAGCACAATCGTGGGAATGTTGAGCAACCGTTCGTACTCTTTGTCGATGTTGCCGATCGCGGTATGATGGTAGTCATGCGACGATGTTTCATAAACTTGACGGCTCTCTTCAAAGAGTGTTTAATGCAGAATTTTTTCCTCTTTCTAACGGTTATGTTATTGTTCAGTGGGAAGTAGGACTTAGCACGTAGGAGAAGATGGTCTGATCTTGCGTAGAACTTTGAAATAACAGCGACGTCCCTCAGGCAATATCCTCTGTTGACGATGATGTGGTCAATCTCATTATGGTCCTCTCCATCGGGCGATTCCCAGGTCCAGCGTCAAGAAGGGAGCTTTTGAAACTGTGAGTTTCAATGGATAGTCCTCGTCGCCATAATAAACTCGGACAGTCTCTCCTCCGGGACACACAGGTTGCTCCTATCGATATATTGGTTTTTTGCAGTTTGCGTAATATCAAAACTGGCAAAGCCAAAATTATGTCCTCAGTTTTTCCGTCTGCGCAGGTAAAGTAAAAGTAATTCGTGCAGAACGGCAAATTTGGCTGGTACAACTGTAACTACTTAGAATTTCGCTGCGATTATTTTGTACTAGGTCAGTGCAAAAGTCCTTTCTCTTTCTTTGACCCCGCAAATCGCATAGGTTAAAGACAATTAGGTATTTTAAGCATTATATGCAGAATTTCTTCCCTTTTCCGGCAGCTGTGTATTCGTGCGACTGTTTCAACGAGCGCTGTAATCGCCGATGTTTACGACAGTTCATTTTCCTATATCTAGCATCCGCTAATTTTTGGAAGTTTTATTCGAGAGGTGCTTTTGGAGGTGCTTTGGTAACCAGCTGATAAGGCAATGAAAGCAACTTGTATTTCTCCGGTTTGCTCTTCAGGTTACTGAAATACATTTTTTGTGGAAAGCAAGTTTTGTATTCGGCTTATGACCTCGTAAAACCAGTAATGACAAACACTTTGAGTAACATAGCTTTTTTTCCTTTCCATTATCTGTCTTTTCTATGCGATACCTGCGAGATCCGAGGACAAAGTCCCCATATTTCTCAATTTTACGAATGTTCACTGTTACATTGTGGATCTCTAAATCTACATGTTCCAAAGCGATAATAGCTCATTTACTTTGTAAGGTCAGTGATAAGAAATCGAGTTTTGGAACCTTAATATCATAAAGGTTTTGCAGCGTTTGGTGCAATCATAAATTACGCGATTTTTTCAGAACTGATGATGTAAGGCAGACTATGTGGTTGAACACATTTTGCAGCGAAAAGTCTTGTTTTTTCCGCAGTTTCCCTAAATTCGCTGAAAATTATGATTTGCAAATACTTTACGCCACAAAAATGCGTTTGCTCCTGAAGTGAAGAGCTACCATGCAAGCTTTTCTAGCTATTTTTGTCAGGGAATCAATTTGCTAATCCTAATCAAGCAAAAAAGCAAAGCAAGCGGAAAAAGAGCTGTTTTAGATCGTATGTTTATTATGCCATTTTCAAAAAAAAATAGTATAAATTTGTGTCTACCTGCAAAAATTAATTTTTCGTTTTACCAAGCTTTTTAAAAGTAAGTCCTTTTAGAGTTGGATGTTCTGGAAAAGAGATGTAAACGCCGTTGAGAGTTGAAAGCAAACTCAAAGCAAATGCTAATGTATCTGCCCGTTGCTTGGAATTTATCTCGAACAATGTGCCCGTATAATTGAGCGCCGGATTGTTCGTGTGCGAATGATTTTGATATCATTTTAGAAGAACGGAACGTATTAAGGTTCACAATAATGCAGATGGCCTCAAATTTTTATGAAATAGGTCAAATCCTGCATTTTATCATTGGAACGTGTAACGCTCAAAAACATAGATGTCTAGTACAACATCTCGCACACATATTGCGAAAACACTTGGCAAATATTAGTTGTTGCTGGGGCAATACGCAGATCTGGTGGAATGTTTAATGAAGGTGCATCAACCTCTGATTCTCCTTTATGTGGTATGTCACCGCTAAAAAAAAGGGAAAATTTAGCTACGAGATAAGTATCAAAAGCAATCCTACCATTTGTTCATTGAAGGATAATCGCACATGTACACCTCACTCAACGACTCAAGTTGATACTGCGATGGAATTTTTGCCAGGCGAGGAGCGTAATCGACTAAAATATTTCCTGTTTACATAATGTTTCATTGGTGGCTAGTTCTCCAAAAAAAAAAACAAATCTCCAAAACAACCAAGGAATCTGCGACTTACCCGGTCCTTTATTCATCTCTTCGACGTGATAGTAGGACGTCGGGAACTTTTTCGCTCTCTCTTTGCAGATCATTCCGTCATATGTTATTCCACAGTCCTCGTCAACCGTCAAATCTTCTATGGTGTTCAACACTTTCAGATTCTGTTCTACAAGAACGATTTCTGCAGCAATTAACATACTTCAAGCTTTCGTCTTTTCATCCACCTGAATTTTGTACTTCCTGGTCTCCTCGATTGAGATCATTATTGTATGGGGAGAGCAGACCAAAATTTCGGCATGTGTCCTAAAATCTACCCAAGTCTTCAGTATAGACAAAGAATGTTTAACCTCGATTGCTTGATCCAACACTTCTTGCATCATCTGTTCGTCGAATGAGGATGCTGTTGATACGCAAGTAGAAATCATCACAATGTTCTGCTGGAAATGCAACTTGCATAACAGTTTTTTGCTGATTCTAAGCTCAGTGAGCTAACGAAAGGAAGCACCTATTGGATAGAATATGCTCGAGGTGTCCTCGAAGTTCAACCACAATAGACCGACGGTGAGAATGAAAAATGAAGTTGACTCTAATCTTCGTTCAAACCTCTAGTGATATGCTTTGCCGTTATCAGTGCAATTTAGCAAAATTTTAGGATTAACTCTCAATGAGCCTTTAAGCGAGATTGGTGCATTATAAGATGACCAGTGCTTCACCTCTGCTTCGCAGAGGTTCGCACTGGCATCGTGAACCGTGGTAAACTCACTTTCCGAGAGCTTGTCTCTCAAATCATTGTTCGGTTTATTGCAAAGTGAGCCGTAGTTAAAAATGAACCCCACTCGCTATCTTAACCTCACATGATGTTTAGTATCGTAAATCATTCCTCACTGTAATTTCGTAACGGACAAACTCCACACAACTTCAGATTAAGCCGCTTATTATAAGTCATGATCGCTAAAACAAAAGTCGTCTCTTAGGTTGAAGGCAATACCTAATTTCCCCCTAGGTCTCGGGCAGAGTTCACGCGATTTGGTCGTCGCGATTCAATCGCTACAAGACAGGTGTTACGAGTTTACTGCATTCGATCTCCTTGTATTTCGGTTGTGGTAGTCAGTCACGATCAGTCGTGTTGGAAAACTATCACAACCGAAATGCAAGAAGATCGGCATGCAATGATAATGTTACAGTTGTGTTGTTGCGATCAATCACGATCTAATCTCGTAAACTCTGCCCGAGGCCTTACGAGTTTCGCCTAAGGCACTTTCGGCTCTAAAATTCCATTGAAGTCATAAAACAAACAAAAACGATAGAAATCTTTCACCCAGAATCCAGCTAGATTGGAGAGGTGAGAATGATAATTGGAAATCGAGACGAATCAATGAAATTGATATTTTTTTCAGAATCACGTTCGAGAGGGATTGGGATTATAAAGACAGTTTGGCCCGTAGTAAACCCCCATCAGTGCATCTCTCTTGACGCGGACCGGGGTCGAGCTCATCGCGCCTCAGTCCAGCATCCGTGAACTGTTGATCTGGATGCGGATCTCTTTCTGAACATTACAATCATGTTCGCTCTTGAAAAAGCACCAATTGAGCTGGTTTAGTCGAGCAGGTAAGCGATTGAAATTGAACGCGCGCGGCCATGGTTCGACACCGGCTAGCGCCACATTTTTGCTGTATCGCAAGGCGTCTTTGATAGCGACCACTAGCGGAAAATTGATGATGACCGCTATCAAGGATTGCGCCTAGAAAATGCGTGGATGAAACAAAAACGCATTTTTTGACGAAAATTTCATGGAAAACTGAAATAACTGCAACATGAATTCAATGAAATAAATTTACAAATTTTTGCCTTGAGCAGCTTTTCGAAAAAACAAGTCGGCAAACTTTACAAAAAAGAAAAGAACGGTTTTCTTGTTTTTCTCGCCAAAATCAGCTGTTCATCGACCCTCTCTTTTTCGCGCCACGGTGTTGTGCAGTTTTGCGCCGATTTTGTCTGCATTTTTAGGTTAACTGATGTGTATCGTAAGTTACTCAGGAGCAACTTACGGGAGTCTTGTCCGCGTCTCCTCTTTTACACACTATTTCCATCACTCTCTAACATCAGTCCACGTTCAGGTCACTTGAACGTGAACTGATGTGGAGGAGTTGACTGCAACAGGTGGACAGATGATGGTCACTATCAGTTCACTCGCCATGCTTATAGCATGGGAGGGTGGGTGGTCATCAGTTCACCTGACGTGAGGTGAACTGATGGGATAAGTTCAGTTCACCTGAACTAATCGAGCTTTACTACGGGCCTTTATCTTTGTATTATCATTTCCAAGCTTCAAGCTGCAGACTGTAGAAAAGAAAGGGGAAATTTTCTCTGCCTAGATTGTGCGAGTAAAACGCTCTTAGGCATTTTTGAAAACTTTAACGGGTAATACGTGCTGCTTTTTGTACTCCTTTATGTGAAAAGCCCGTTGGCGACGCTTTGAGTCTCAGGATATGTGCATCCACAAAAAATACGACAATCGGAGTCACTGCGTGACATAAGCAGAAATTAATTAGCTGCAGTCATCATGAAGGATGCTGTTGAAAATCTTGTCAGATTTGTCATCATATTCTAACTTTTAGGACCAAACTATTTTTCTTTCCTTTTTGACATGACTCGACTGCTATACATACTTCAATGAATGTCAGGTCGCGGTGGATATCTCGCTGTTCTGCTCTCTTCACTTTGAGTTTTGTAAAAGCTCCATAATAACTTTTCTTAAAGAGATAAGATGTCGGACCAGGGCCCGGCGGGGGTGGTGCTTTCACAAGCTGGATATCGTTTTTGGCCCGAAAAAGCAAAGGGGAAGTCGTATTTTGGGGTCCGGGGCGGAGCCGCGGACCCCAAAATACGCCTTCCTCTTTGTTTACCGATAAACAGTGCACATATCATTCTTTATTCATCATTCCTTGTTGATGCTACTGTCCTATGAACTTAGATTCCAGCAATGTGAAGATTCTGTGCTCCGATCGCTAGCCTGCCCGCAGGCGGGAATTCAAATCGCAATTCTTACAAGAGGAAAATAACAAAATAGGCTCGTTTTCAATGCACAAGTAACGATATGGCACCAAATTTTCTGTGTAGTTGGAGGACCATGAGCACAAAAAAAGTATGAAGAATTATGAGAAACTTATGTGAATTTAAAAAATGGTAAGTGTTTTTCGAAATTAGGTGGCTCTCGCGCCACCTGGGAGCCACCTGGGGTGGCTCCCTGCTTCCCCTCACATAATTTCTCGGATTTCTTTACATGTGGATTAGGTCGAGAGTATTACTATATGTTCAAATCCGCTTCCAAAACCACCAAGGCACCGCTTCGATACAGCCCCAAATAGGGTTCACAGCGTTATGATCGGCCTCGGAAAGCGCGCTCCAATCGCATTCGGTTATTGTAAATTGTAAAGTTTCGCAGCTGACTAATAAATGAGTAGTATCTTAGATATATAAACGTCAAAGTTTATGCAAATCTTGACCCTATGTTTTTTTATAGATTCCTTTGCGGATGAACCCATTGAGCTGAAACCTTGATGACCTGTGGACCAGGAAAGCCAGCTAGTACTACTATAATAAGCGCTGAGGCCGCCCATCTTATTATTTGTGTATATCTGTTTGTCAGGGACTTACGGGGGTCAAAAATAGGGTCAAAGGGGAAGTCGTAAGAAATTTTGGCTTCAAAGGGGATATCGTTTTCAAAATTCTGAAATGTCACCTCCTGCCGGGCCCTGTGTCGGACTAGAACTTTTAGTAGTCCTATCCTTTCTTGCATTCACCAGAAAACGATCGCGTTGTGGTTGACTATAGCAGGAGGAAACATGAAGAACCCAGCAATGGAGCGAAAAGAAAATTGGTGGACAATGAGTACGTAGCTGTAAGCAGTAGCTAGACTTTCATGTACGGATTGTGATATGTCTAGATCTTCGGAGTCCTTACTAAAAGGGAAACCTTTGAAAGAAGACAAAAACAGCGTTTGTAAGTATTAGATTGATGCATAATTCCTGCACCGAAATAGGTACAGACCGCAACAATCCGGAATAATCCTATATCCCAAGTAGAATTCGATAAACCATTGGATATAGCAAACCTAACTCTACAAGATAGTGCTCAAATATCTACAACAGCTTGGATCCACGCGAAGTTTTAAGGCGAGATCTGAAAAAAAAAACCATGCGTCCGAAAACCCTAAGATCAAACAAAACAAAATGGTAAGTTCGTTCAAAAAGCTCCTACAAAAGTTGTTGCTTGCTCACGCGTAGACGTTTCACATAAGACATTTATCTATGCAATTGCTGTATTTTTTTCTCAGCTAGACGATAAGAAAATAAAGTTTTTTTGTTTTTGCCAAATTAGTGCTGAGATGTTCTAGCACTAACAGTCGTACGTATAGTACATGTCGTTAACAGTATAATTTTACATTTTCAGCCTTTTAGTACAGCTAGTTTACGAGAAAAGACGAATCTAGCTCTCCTTATCCGAATTTCTCCTACCTAGTTGCTAAAAGTTCGATATTTCTCGTAAACCAGCTGCTGTAAAAGACTGAAAATTCACACTCACGCTTCTAAAGTCCTGTAGCGCACAACTGTCAGTGCTAGAACATCTCATTGTCAGCATTGTTCTGGAAAAAACATAAAAGACTTCGTTTTTTCAAATTTCTAGCTTAGAGAAAAATACAGCAACTTCATAAAGAAATGTCTTATACGAAAATACAATGCATGAGCAGGTTAGGAATTTTGAAGGATTGTTCTGAACGGACTTCCAATTTTTCCTTGGTTTTGTGGGCCGCTTGAATCTTTTTCGTTTTTGGCTTCAATCTTCGCTTGAATCAAAGCTGCTACAAAATTTTAGGCACTGTCTTGTAGAGCTAGGTTTGCTCTACCTAATGATGTATCGAGGTCTATTTGTAACAGGATTACTCCGCATTATTGCGGTCTATACCCAATTTGGTAAAGGAATTATGCATCAGCCCTAATAGTTGGGCAGAGGATTAGCGTTGAGCGCAAACCGCTTGAACACATGGGGGATCTCAATAGCTGAGTCCAAATTTTGACTATATCGCTGATTTATAGAGAATCAAAAGAAATCACAATTCATTTTCTATTCGTAGATTTCAAAGACGACTAGATTGAAGCACTGCATATTTTTTCCTACTAAATGCTAGTTCTGTGACTGCCAGGATGTGGGGACGCGTGAGTCCCTCCAAGGGATTGCCGCTTCTCCAGGCGCGCTGAGAGACTATTTCCTTCTTTAAGATCGTCGGAGACGTCAGAATATCAGACAAAATATCAAAGTTCATAGGGAGAAGTTTTGAATTTTTGAAAAAAAGCAGAGACTTTCTCTACAGCTTTTGTAGATTACAGCAGAACATTCGCCGCAACTTTTGACAGTTGAAGCTTAACCTTCACCATACAATCCCGCTCGTATTTTTCGAAAACACGACTATTCACGTGACATCACCGAGAGTGGCCATACTTTGCTTCAAAGTGGACGAAGTCTTAATCCAAGGGCATCATTCGATCAGCTTTGCGATGCGCTTATCTTTTTGTA